GACTGGTGTGATGTATATGAGTATACAATATGGAGCCGAAATGACAAAAACCCAATACCGGATATTATGATTGGATGTACGGAATTCGTGACATTGTTTTCAGAGGTCAGCCCACAAGGCTATCCGAGTTTTCCAGGGAGATCAAGTAAACATAAACAAATAAAAATGCAAGTCGTGGTTTTGAAATTTCATGTCGTAAACCATGAAACAGTACGTATTCTCCTAGTTATTATAGTCTACGAATTCATGTTACGAATTGTGCTATTCAGTCAATGTAGTTTTAGTCCTCAACATGGCGCAAAATGAAACCGAACTGTAACTGAATAATTCAAACTTGACTGAAGTCAACTGCAACTCCAAAGTGGTGTTACACTGTTTATGGAAGTCGTAAATATTTAAATGATTTGACGATAAACAGAAAGAAGTCGTAAAACTCAAATAGTTCTTTGTTTTTTCAGCTGTCAAATACAAGTCCAAAGTTGGCGTCAAAGTAATGACGATAATGAACTGAATAGTTGGACTTTCGGTAGCATTCGATCGAAACTTTGCTTTGTGATTTGGGGGAAGCAGGTCATTGTGTGTGTAGCTTTGCCGCGTTACTTAGCTCCAACCTTCAAATTAGAAACGAAATTCATCATTTTTGTTCGACAGACATAATTTTTTATCAGAATTCTTCCTCTTTTGTCTAATTGCTCGGCGGAGTCTGCTATTATGATCGGTTTCTGTTTGATACTGCAACCTGCAGGTGCGCTCTGTGTATTGTACCAATCCTTCCAAGGCCGGCCTAGCAACGATCCATTGTCCGCAGCGGGACACTCTATTGCAGATTGCTCTTGCCAAAACACACCAAAAATGACAGTTTCGGGAGTCGTTTTGACAGCCGTAAACGATTTGGCCTTCCCGTAAGAGCCCAATTCCCACTCATGGATAACAAGACCGATTATAATGGCTGTCTTTTTTAGATTTCAAACATTATCCTGGGCCAATTCGAGACTAAAAGAAGTCTGAAGCCTTGCGCATCTTATTATCTCTTCAAAATACAAGCACTGAATAGGTTTCATTCGGAGCGATCAGACTCCCATGAAAGAGTAAGTGACCTCTTCGGGAAGGAATCACATCCTTGAACTGGACTCTGCGAAAAAAAAATCAGCGTAAAATTTTTCGATCAAATCCTGTTTCCTTTTTTTTCTGGATTCTGTAAATCATTACATCAATGTTACTGCAGGTCAGTATTTCACGTCACTACAAATCTTTTTCGTCAATACAAATCTTTGCATGTGCTAAGTCTGCATAAATACAATACGTGTACTAAGGCTGTATAGTCACATTGTTTATACTGACGTAGCATTGTGAGTTTACCAGGTAGTCAGTAATAAAGGGATGAGGCAACATACACAAGGAGTTACCTCACTGGTGTCAAAGATAACTGCCGTCATCTAACGCTTTCGATGTTGTTTACGAAGGTGAAGTTTTAGTAAACTTTTACCTTGCTTACAAGTGCTTCCTTGAAATGAAGCTGGTTCCTATAAACATGAAGTTATAAATGGAACCTTCGTCAAATGCATGATAATCAAGATAAGAAATGACCTGGGTGGAAGTCTCCATTATAAGTTCCTTTGTTTTTGTTTTGCTTTTGAGTTCACTGAAGTTTCGCTGTCAAACAATCCAGTTTAATTCATATCGATATGCTGCTTAAAAATTAAAATATTGGAATTACGAAGAACCTAATGGTCATCATCGTGATCTGAATATAATTCCAACATTTAAATGGTCGTTATAATATACCGGTATATGTAAACAATACATTTCTTTAGGCAATAATAGCTATGAGCGATAAAAATACACGAAACCAAATTGTACTCTAGTCAATCGAAAACGAAAGGTGAACGGAAACCACCCTGAAACAATTGACTGAATGAATATTCAGACGGCTAAAAGGGCATATGTCGTCAAATGAAATCATTTGCATCACTATATTATGCATGTTGAGAGACTTGTAGGCCTATATGCCAGTTTCGTTTTTGGTTGAGAGCTTTGAACAAAACCGAATTCTGCATATGAAAACACTACAAATATATTAAGAAGTTTTAAGTACTACCAAACTGTATTCACTTTCCATTACTATTGAGCTAATTGTCGTTTTGGTATGACTATTTATATTAAAATATCAACAAATACGCTTAAGAATCTACTCCAAGAATCTACTGCTTTCAACTAAACTGTCCGCTCTTACATTATGGCTCCGTGGCCTAATTTGTGGTAATTGTTTCAAAAGATGTGCGATTTTTCTGCGGTTCAGTTGAAATACTCATGGTAAATGCAATACAGCTTACAGGGGTTTCGTTATGTTAAGTGTAGGCCTGCATGTTGGCCTAGGCCTATAATATAGGTAGTCATCAACAAGGCCGGCCTCGTGTAGAGACGCCCGTCTTTATGTCTAACAGCAATCTACCAGGTATCATTGTGCATACTAGGTCCGCCCTCCCAACAGAGGTTAAAATGGGTGTAATTATCCCCCTCCCCCGTTGCGAGATAAGCATGCTTGCTCTACCCTCAACTCCGAGGGATTAATGGATTAATCCCCTCCCTAGTCTACAAGCGGGCAAGGGGTTGCCCCACTGGTCCAGTCATTAAAGATCCTGATTATTAAGCCCTACAACCCTCTGCTTCCTGCCATGAAAGGGGAAAGGGCGATCGTGTGATGACCCGTTTGACGATATAATATGACAGTTGGTGGTAATGGGTCTTTATAATCTGACAAACCCAGCGAATTTGGACAGGGAGTGTAAAGACTGCAACTTTATTGTTGTGGGTTGAGGATCCTTTTAAATAATAATAATAATAATACTGACAACGCTTTTCACGGTGTTTTGAGGCCTGACGGTGGCCCTTCCAGTTTTGAAGTACTGACTGGCGTGGTGTTGTCCCTTACTCTAAGACAGAGAAGAGAGTGAAAAATATAGGATTGTAGAAGCGATTGAACAGACTGTTGGAGACTCCTGGGGTTCACTCCTTTCTCTTCCATGGAAGCCCATGATAGTAAGGCTAGAGTATGTGCTTTTCTCTGTTTCTTTCCTCTGACCTTATTAGTCCCAAAAGAGGGTTCATGATGATAGTCGGCTAAAATAGGCTAGCGCACCCAAACTTCCTGTTTCTCTTAGGCAGCCAAACTGATCAGCGGTCCTTGCTCTATGGTCAGACTTTGGCTGGCCAAAGCTGAAGGATCTACTGTCCGAACAACACACAGTGGACAGAGCCAATTTCTTTTGACCGCTGTCCATCCACTCAGCCGGTGTTCATACCCCCGTCTAGATCTGCTGAGCGTCCCAATCAAGCGTCCATCATTTCTTTGGTGTCGTGTGGAAAGACGATTAACTGTTGACGGAGAGTTGCGCTAGAGGTCATCCAGAAGAAGTGTGGAAAGGTGCCTAATTTCGGAGGTGCGGTTTGGATTATTTCGCTGGTACCAGATCGAGTCTCCAGAAGAGAGTTGTGGTAGACTCTATTTAGTAGCAGGTGCTTCATTTTTGTTCGACTTGAGAGTTAAAATAAAGATTGAACACCACAATGTTAACTTCTTATGTTTTTCTCAAAATAATTCAAATGAAAGTAATTTCTATGAGTACTCGCAGGTCATAGGCCAACCGTCGTACCCTCATGATCTTTCTTCTGCCAAATCTTTCCGATGTATATTACTGTTGCTAAAGAATGCGCAAACTCATCCAAGTTAACACATACAGACAGACTCGATTTCCTGAGGTAGCGAAATCGTAACCCTTGTCTACAGGGTACCAGACCTAGTGTCCTCGTTCACGGCGGACTTATCTTGTTGACAAAATCGTGGCGGGAAACGAAAGGTTTCCTCACTGTGGGGAATTCTCTGATTAAGCAATCAGCTGTCAGCTTAACCCACGGTTGGCAGGACCGTGAGGTTGCGTTCCGTCACAAGGAAACGGCTAAAACGACAAGCCCACTGACGAGGAAGTGCTTAGTTGACGAATTCAATTCAACACAGAACAAAGAACGTGATCGAGATGAGAGGAAATGCCAAATCAAGAGGAGAAAGTGCGCATAAGGTGAACCCTTCACCTGTAGGTTGGTGGTTGTTTCAGCTAGATCACGTCCCCACCCCAAGGGAAAGTTAACAGTGTCGTTTTTAAGTTTAAAAGGTACCCCTAGTTCAAAGTTAAGATGAAAATATTTTCATCATTATATTTTAACTTAGTGCACAGATTCACCCGTTCAAGTGGTCTTTAACACCACGCTTGCGCATGCGCTTTTGCTGCGTGGTAGGTGAAATGAGCACACCCATGTGTTTAATAGCTCCATGATACACCAGTCGCCATGACACTAATGACATAGACGTCGTCCATCAAGTGTAATTTGAAGTCCCCTTGAGAGCTAGAAACATGGACTTGCCTGCCTAGAGCTCTCTACATTGCCTTGTTTAACCCGAAATCAGCAGCGAATTAAACGTTTGAACTCGAATAAATAACATTACTTGTATTATTTGTAAAAGATAATCTGTGTGCATGAAATCCTGTCGAAATGACTGTAGGCTCACGTGAGAAATGAGAGAATGGTTGTCAAAAGAAAGAGAAATCATGATACATGTAGTATCTTGAATTAGGTCTATGACTTTTCATGTTCTTGAAAACATTACAAAACCCACGGTATAATTATGTCTTTTTTATTTCTCTGTGATATAATCATGTAACCAATGTTACAATTCCTTTGTTCCTTGCCCAAAATCGCACCACGTGCTGGAATGCGCCCTTAGGCAAATACGCACACACACACGCCACTACTGTCATTAAAGGAACTAGCCACGCTGTCAAAAACGTCTCGTCCAATGTTGTGTCGCTATTACCAACAAGCCTACTTTGCATACACCCCACACGGCACCGCTCCCATTCAACATTTGGCGGGTTTGTAAATACGATTAGCATATCAAAGCAACGGCGCATAATGCCCTGAATGGCTGTCAAGCGGTGTAGCGCGCTGATTGGTCACTGGTGTGGTAGAAGGGTCCTCACTGCAGTGCCGCTAGTGCGGGTTTCTCGACCACGTGCTTAGAACAGGCCGGCTGGTCGCACCGAGACCTGTTCTGTCAAAACCGCATTCATCCACAGAGCTACTATCAACTCAACACGCTGTCATATCACGACTCGTCTCCACCGTGGATGCTTTATTTCCCAGGCTCGAGTCGAAACCACCAACCGTCTTTGTTACTGCAAAGACCAAGGAACATTTCCCTTCCTTCGTCTGGATTTCCTAGTTTTGTTGGATCATCTTTTGAGCGAAGGAAGAGCCCACAGCCATGCGCATTTTCAACAAAAAAGGTAGGCATATTGTTTTGTCAATTAATGTAACTTTGCCAGCATATTTGGCTACACGATCAAGTTATCATGTCGAGGCGCTATCATCATGGAGTTCCATACTGTCTCCCAATAACCTCCTTTTGTTGGACATGTAACATGGTTACGTGTATGTAGGCAATATTGAAATTTTCAGAATGTCAAACACCAACTTATTTAGCATTAGCAATTCAGGTGAGCAGAGCATGCATGGTTGGCATTATGACACACTCAAGCCGTTGTTCCTTTGTGCCATATTTATGTTGCAAAGCACCATACAACTGCACAACATAAATTACTCATAACATGGAAAGGGCGCGAAAATTAATGTATTCAACCGAGCAACTGAGTTTGACCAAAATGACATCATCCAAAACAGCAACATTGGTTTGAGTGGGCCGAGTGCACTGATCTAAATGCGTCATTGCTGCCGCGTGGTCTTATTTTAGACATGACCAACGTGGTGGCTAAACGTTAACCGCATGGGCGCCCGTGATCGTGTGGTGATCTGTTGTGTTGGCATGATACTAATGGTATAGGGCGTTGCTAGACCACGACAAGGCCCGCTCACACTTCGTGCATCCATGGTGCATCGTTGCGTTACCGCCGGGAAATTGTTCCCAGAAATCTACATTTTAACGTACCATCTGTAACTTACAATTATGGCAGTAGACTGATGAGGATTGGTTGATTTAAACACTGTGTTGACATCATTAAGAGCTTAATTGAAAACGGTCTAGTAGTTGCATGCATAAATGCGGGTATGTTTTATATTTAGAGACATAAGGATCGTGGTCGTATATCAAAGTCAATACTCGGTATGGGTCGCAGCTTAAACTGCTGTTACCAAAGGGTAAAGAGACGCGTACACTCCGGTAAGCCTTTTTAAAATCACGCTACTGATCGCGACATTATTGGGACGTGGGAAAAGTTGTCGAATCCGGGAACTTGATCTGCAGAGTGTTTTGAAAAGACAAATGTGCCAACCACCTCCCTCGGGATGTTTGTACTATGGAGAAACCTGAATTTACGATTAGTATAAAAACTAATGCCAGTTATAGAGTGCAGTGAACAGTCACATGACTCCGCAGGTGGTAACTACATTCTTTCTCTGTCAATTCTATCGAATCGTGAATAACTGAATACCGCCTCTGTGGTCAAATTGCCAGGCCTGAAAATGTCAAAGCTTCAATATCAAAGCTCCTTTCAGACACCCAACAAGTGTGCTCAATATCGAATCAACTTCCCACGATAAATGTCGACATACCTGTTGTGTGCAGCGCAAGTTTGGTTTGAGTTTTTTGTACAGGTTGCCCAACGATATGGTGCAGCCTGCAGGGGTGAGATTTGTCAGGTCTTTTTCATCGTGATATTATTCCTGATTTCAGGATTTTTCAAACAATTTATTTCAGAATGTGGGAAATCTTGAGTTTACCCTCGTGGTCTTTTCATAATGCATAACAGTTAATATAGAACACAAGAAATGGGTACTGTAAGGGGTGTCTTACACTGCTGTGGGACCATGATCAAGTCCTTGTGGTTATTTCGTTTTCTTCGGTCTCACCCTAGACATAAATAGAATACACTGCAAACATATTTAGCTCGGTGACTTAGTGTTTATCTTACAGGGGGAGGCTTACCAGCAACTGGTTGCCTAACGGAGCCTTTGGCCCGTTTTCAGAAACAAAGTGGCGCACATGAATCAAGATCAGATTTTACGACTTAAAAAACCAACAAAAAGTTCCTTTTTAATCCTCAAGGTCACTTTTTGTGGCAGCATGTGCCAAGACCCGGCATTCCCTCGCCCTATCAGGGGAAAAAGTCACATGATCGCTCGTAAATCTCGGATCGCAATAATGTCACAATCTTGCTAGACAGCTTGGAGAGCGGGATTAAAAAAAAAAGGGGCAGCGTGCGGGGAAGTGACATAACCACGCGAGGTCCTGAGACCCAGTAGGTTGCGTTGGCATGATACGGGCTCACGAGTTACCGCAAGACCCTGACACACCATGCATCACCCAACATGTGGGCTTAGTCCCACTTTTTTCATGTTGTCTGCATCGTGTTTTGGTTGCACTTCTTATCCTTGACTGGCTACTGAAACAACAGCGATGTAATTGATCTACAATGGTAGAGGAGCTCGATACGAAGCCAGTGTAGGGTGTACAATGCGGCTCAGCTCAGCGCAGTTTTGTTATGCCATTGTGCCTTGTAATGTTTTAACCAGATAGTGATTTCTAACTACAGCTGATGACGCTCACGCTAGTCTGCCCGTAATGATGTGTGCTTTGGAAATCATGGTCTCCATGTCCCTATAGTAACGCGAGCGTTCCAGACAGGGCGAAAATCACTCTAGCAGTGGCACAGTCACCTCGGCCCACTCAAGCATTGTCATACAATAAGCTTTGTGTACAAAGTCGAACCACTTTTTTCTGGCTTTTCTGGTCTTCCGGGTTGCTGGCGAGTTACCCCAAGGGCGTTTGATTACCAATTCTATAGGAGAACTGTCAAACGTGCAAAGCACACCCCGCTCTATTCAGGGGGTCATCTCCCGGCAATCAATAAGAATTTATATCCTGTGACTGCAAAGAGAGAGTCGGATTAGCTGAACGCTTTAAATTTAAAAGCTAGGCTGTGTATTTTAAACGTAATACGCCGGGTCCCGGGCTCATAGGCGACCAATCATTTTGACAGTCACCCCGTTGGGTCTGTATGTGTGGTTGATCAAACTGTCAAAGTTTGCTCTAATGTTACGTCATCGTTATTTGAACGTTTCTTTTAAAGTTTATCGTCGTCATAAGTTTTCTGAAAAAAAATTCCGCATGGTGTTCAGTACTTACTGGCTTTTCAGTGTTCAAAACAAACCTGAAATCAGTCCAGAACAAAAAGTAAAACTTGGACCAATTTTACCACTCTTTATCTTGAGTAAAATACCTCGGCGAGCGTAACGACAAGCCTCATGAGGGGTCTCTGAGTAAATATTGACGGTATGCTGTCGTCATTCCAGAGGGGCTGCACAGATTGTGCTGGTTACTCATTTAAACAGGTCTTCTTAAAATGGCGGGCAGCTTGTAAGCTAAATTTGTGAGATCAGACCCGGTCACGTGCCCTTGGGTGGAGCGTCTAAATAGAAACTGTGAATTGACAGCCATTGACCTTGGGTACACGAGGTGTGCTTCAAAACGAGCTCGGCCCGGATGTGTCTAGGCCGACTATTTTTAACTGATCCCCCGCCGCGTCGGTCCCGCGTCTTGGCAGGCGAGTGAAACCTCCGAACAACTCGGTCTTTCGCAGAGTCGTTCTTGGTGGGCGAATAATCCATGATTAAGACGGTCTGTGTGACGATCTCGGCGCACCTAGACAAAAACCCACTGAAATTTCTCAATGCGCGGGTCATTTTCTTTCAAACGCTGTAGCCTTATGTAGGACCACATCCCAAACGCACCACAGAGACGAAAGGAAAAAATCGAAAACCCGTCTGACAGCGGTCGAATTCCAAAAGGGTCATCAGCCAAGACTAATTTGCTCTGTCTTGGCACCCTTACCTGTCCTCGGCAAAGGACAAAGGGGCCAGTAAATCCCGGTCGATTTTGTTTTTTGCCAAGGGACTTCACTATGGTGTCGATGATGGGGCTAAGGTACAATGTGGGTAAATTAGTTAGGCAAATGTGGGGAGGTTGGTGTCTTTGTGGAGACGCCCAGCATCCCAAAGTTGGCTGCTCGGGCCTGTGGATGGAGTGGGTTTTAATTTTGAACACTAGCCAGGTCACAAAAGAGGACTAGATGTACCATTAGTGCGGAGCATTGAATGGGTGCAGTCACTATCGAAGATGGCGTTCTTGCACGTTTACGTCACTGCAAACATAGTTATTAGTGACCTGTTATCTGTTTCAGTAATTTTTCTCTCACTGGCAAGGTATCAGGAAAAAGCTTCCTGCTTTGTTTCCTGTACGCCATCAGATGTGCATCTAATGCACTCCACATTTGATGAATACGGTGCACAATTTGCTGGTAGTTCGCTAGACCTGTACCTCTTTACTCACACTATTTCTGTGCTATAATTTACATTTTCTGCCAGAAATTGTTGCTGGCTACCGTCAGAAATACTTCTTTGTGTGCCTCGCGCGTATGGCCATAAATCATCAAATTCAGCCAGCAGACGCATATCACTATTAAGTCTTTTCCTACATGAGAGCTTCGAAACCCGCATGTCCAGTTCCGCTTCATTCATAAAAATGCAAATGAGGTTGCCGTGGGAGATTGTAAGAGCATTGTAACAGAGCAAGCTGTATTGATGAACATGCAAAAGTCTAATATCGCATGTATTTGCCTTATCTGCTCTCATTTTCGATGCAGCTGTTATGCCGTAAATAACCTTTCCAGTCGAATTTTGGCTGGTCTTGCATAGTCTAGAGAAGTCATTTTCAAGAGTTGATGGTCGAGAGTTTATGAACCGTACGATTACTGGTTAGGTGTGACATCTTCGGATGTCGAAATGATCCATTTCTTTACGAATTCGAAACGACACACCTGCTTAAGTTTCCAGTCACCTCACTGACCATGTGATTAATATCATTGAAAGTTTGCCTGGCACAGCGATAGCGCTTGTTATTAGTGAGTCTCTCCAGGCGTATCACTTTGTGCGAGAGACAGCGGTTCATCCTAACCAGAATTTATATGTTGCCACATCGAAATTATGTCGTCTAATTTACATATTGCAGTCGATGGCTATACCATATGGTAGACTTTATATGCATTATTCAGAGAATAAAGCCACCGATAGCAGCGAGTTGCAGTGCATGTGATGCTCAACCGAGTCCTTTTCGATTATGCGATACATACCAATTTCAAGGAACGAAAGTGTACGTTTTTCTACTTTTGAATTACAAGAAGCTCCCGTCAAGACTTGAAAGAACGACATCGGCTGTTGTATTAAAGAAAACCCAAATTTAAATAGAGTAGAAAGGTAGCAGCAAGTTAGGTAG